GGTCTTTTACATTTTAATTCAGGCTTTGTAGCTTAGAAACTTTTTACCCTTTCAATGCAGCATGGCCTTTGTGCAGTGTGAGGGACTCTGCCTCTTAGTTGAGTATTTAAACCATTTATATTTGATGTGCCCAATGGTATGGGACTATCATCTCACTATTTTATAAATTACCATCTGTTCAATTGGTTTTCTCTTTTTCTTGCTTTTGGATCAACTGGATTTTTTTCTTATTTCAATATGTCTCCTTTGTTGACTCTTGTTTTAGTAGTTGCTGTAATTCTTGTTTTAGTAGTTGTTGTAGGGTTTATGTCTTCAATTTATTGCAGCCTACCTGCAGAGATGCCACACCCCTAGACCCTGGTACCATGGTCGTAATACCTTCCACTCCTGTACTTCAGAGGCCACCATTACAGGGATTTTTGTTTTTTTGAGATGGGGCTCTCTGTGTTGCCCTTGCTGTCCTTACATTCTTAGGCTCAGGGGATCCCCTGTCTTAGCTTCCTGAGTAGCTGGAACTGTAGGTGCGCACCACCACACCAGGCCAATACAGCTTTTGTGTAGATGCTTTTTATCTTGTAAAGAGAGTTAGACAATAACCAAGTGTCTCTTCTGTTTATCCATGTACTTACAGTTTCTGGTGCTCCTGGGTCTTCATGCAGGTTCATCTTTCCACCGGGTGTCACTTTCCTTCTAAGAACTTTAATATTTCCCTCTCCCTCTCTTTCCTTCTCCATCCACCTTCTCTTCCTCCGCTGCTGTCATCGTTATCCCACCGCTGCCTCCTCCTTCTCCTCCTCCTCCTCCTCCTTCTCCTCTCTCTCTCTCTCTCTCCCCTTCCCTCGGGGCCAGTGACTGGACCCAGGACCTTGCACATGCTAGACCAGCACTCTACGCCAAGCTGTACCCACAGCCCTTTTTATTTTTCCTCTTGAAGCAGAGTCTAACTAAGCTGACCAGGCTGGCCCGGAACCTGCCTCCGTCTCCTGAGTTGTTGGGTTCACAGACTTGCACCACCTCAGCTGGTAGGGTGAGTTTTCTGATAGTCACTTTTCAGTTTTGTCTGAAAAATTATTTATTTTTGTTCAATATTAAAAGATTTTTCTGGATATAGTTTCAAATCGACAAACTGTCCCCCGCCCCCCCAGCATATCACTCCACTGTCTTCTCACTTGCACTATTTCCAGTGGAAGTCAGCTGCTCTCCTTATCCTTGTCTCTGGGCACACAGTGTCTTTTGTCTCTGACTACTTTCAAGATTTTATCTTTGTGCTTAGTGTTGAGCTGTTGGTCATGGGGGCCTGAGCTAATTTTAGTCACATGTCATATGCTTCAGTTTTGATGAGTTTCTTGGATCTATAGTTTCATAGATTTAATCAAATTTGGAAAATTATCAGCCATTACTTAAACTTTTCTTTTCTGATTTCTACTTGCTTTCGGGATTCCAGTTGCTTATATCTTAGGCCTGCCAAAGTTGTACCATGTCTCCCTGAAATGCTTCATTAAAAAAAAAACAAACATTTCCCTGTGTTTTATTTTGAACACTTTCTATACTGTCTTTAAGTTTACTGATTTTTTTCTTCTGTAATATGTATTCCATCATTAACATTAATCAGTGTGTTTTCAAATCTCAGATATCATAGTTCTCACCTGCAGAAGTTCTGTTGGGTCTCTTTTCTATCTCTCACGTCTGTGCTTATCTTTCCCAGCAATGGAATACCTTTCTGTTGGTTTGTGATACTGGGTATTGAACCAGGTGTGCTCTAGCACTGAGCTAAACACCAGCTCTTTTTATTTTTTTATTTTGAGACACAGCCTTGCTAATTTGTCCAGGCTGGCCTGGAACTTGGGATCCCCCTGCCTCCTGAGTGGATGGCAGGTGTGGTCACAGTGCCTGGTGGAATATTGATATAATAACATTCTAACAGGTTTGTCTGCCAGTTCTGTCTTTGGTACCAGTTCTTGGGTGGTTTTGACTGGTTTTTCTTTTTATCAGACATCTATTTTCCCGCTTTTCTGTGTGCTTGTACTTTACAATTGGATGCTATACTTTTGTGAATTGCCTTTCTGGATGCTGGACATTTTTGCCCTTCCACCACCTGCTCTGGGACAGCTGTGCTATTAGAAGAGTCTGATCCTTTCGGGTCTTCCTTTAGGATTCCTGGGCAAGGTCTGCTGGGGTGCTTGTTGGGCTGATCAGCCCCCACCTGAGGCCAGGCCCTTTGTGCATACCCTGAGTGCCCAAGGGCTGGGGAGCACCAGGCACTATTCTCCAAGGAGGAGGATACAAGCGTAGGGAACTCCTCACACTGGCCTGGTCCTACCATCTCCTCAGCAGCCCAAAGGACAGTGCCACTCATTCTGGAAGCCACAGAGAGGCTGGTAGGCTGGGAACTCACGAATCACCCCTAACCAGTGTAAGGTCCTTCCTATAGGGTGGGGGGTACTCATAGAGTGCACACAGGCCTTGGCTTAGGAGGAGGAAAGGGAAAGCTGAACAGAGAGACATTTGGGACAGAGGCAGAGTTGGCCACAGGGGCCATGGAAGTCAGAGGAGGCCCTGAGGACCATAGTGCAGGAAGTCACAGAGCCTGAAACCCTGAAGCCCCCCCCCTTTGCAGAGTATCTCCCCAGCCTGCAGTCCAGAGGTGCTACAGAGGGCCTGCCCCACACCCATCGTCCTCCCATGTCTCCTAGGGCTATCTGGGCAGTCCATGGAGATGTTCGCTGCACTGAGTGGAAGAATGGGGCACAGGTGGGTGGAGGTAGAGGAGGCAACGGCCTCTAGCTTGGGGGCCTACAGGGCATCCGGAGGCAATGGGTCAGACTTGGGTGCAGAAGTGCAGCCTGGCTGCCCTACTGTGCCACGGGTCCCTCCTCTGCTGCTGGGAAGCTGGATCCCCCAACTGTGGATGGGAGGTGGTCTCAGGTCTGGTGGGGACAGAGGAACAAGGTTGAGGTGGCTCTGTCCACCCTGGCAGCCTTCCTGCCAGCCCTCTGTGTTGAGCATCTGCACCTCACTACCTGGGGGCTCTTATGAGCCCACCAAGACCTAGGAGGGGCGATGCTCTCCAACCACACTCCAGGCGGAAACAGATCCCCCTCTTGGGCCCAGTCCCCACCTCGGGGGAATTTAGGACAGAGGTGCTTGGTCCTCCCACAGGCCACCATGCCTGAAGTCCTGGGGTCCCACCTCAGCTGACCAGGGTGTATCCTGGCTCTGGACACCTTGGCCCTGCACCCTGAGGGTTATGCCAATGTCACTGGAGAGGTCTGTGTCCCAGCTTCTGTCCCTGGGGACAGCGTTTCTCGGTGCTGGCTGGTGAGAGCTACTGGGCCCTTTAATCACTGCCCACGGCAGCAGTGCATTGAACATCGGCGGGCAGGACTCTCCCAGGTAGCCCGACAATGTGTTCAAAGGGCTTGGATAAATAGTCAGACACAGGGGACAAAGGGTTGCTGTCTCTGGGCCGGTACGACCTGTGGAATCTGCTTCATCAGGCCTGCCCTGGAGCTGGGCCCACAGGTGAGGCAGCCCTGTGTGGGGTTTAATGAGCTGGAAAATACAATTGGCTCCCCTGGCTGTGAAATTGCTTCAAGGGCAGTGGCTCACTTAGCTGCTGGGAGACCCTGGAATTGATCTCCTTTGTTCACAGGGCCCAGCACATCCTTGCAGTTGTGGAGGCCGAGCAGGGCCTCCTCCCAGGAAGACCCCAAGCAGCCCCCAGGTCAGAAGGGACTCAGGAACTCAACCTTCAACCAAATGTCACAGGCCTTCCTGTGCTCGCCGTTTCCAGAGCTCCCTTTGGAGTCTTCTTATAGGCCAGGCCAGGAGGGTGCTCACTGGCAGGGACTCCACAGAGGACTCTGGTCACTCACTACTGGGGGCTTCTTGGGCAACCACGTTGCTGCCTGGTAGACCTCGCAGCCGTGGGGCTCATTTTTCTCCAGTCGTCTGTGCTGACCTGAGTTGGGTCATGATGCTCATGAAGCTGTCAGGGCTGCTGTGACCACTGGGAAGGACACGTTGGGGAAAAGCAGCCTCAGCTGTGACAGAGAGGGTGACGCCTTCTTGTGTGCATGGGGCATCAGTTTCTGGAATTCCTGCTGGCTCTCACATCCCTGGGGCAGATGGGCTGGCTGTGCTCAGCTGACCTTGGGAGTTTCGCTGCCTCGCTCAGGGACTGTAGCAGAGGAGACCAAAAGAGGTAAGTGAGCATTTTTATGTCAATCCTAGAGGGTTCATAAAGTCATTTTCTACTGGTCTGGATTCAGAGCAGAGATACTGACTCTAGAACCTCCTCCCTGTGGTCTCCCAAAGCCTGGAGAATCAGAGTGAGGAGGGGTCTGCAGACCTCGGCAGGGTTCTCGGGACAGCATGGTGTCGAGGGGCACCAGCCTCAGGAGCACTGCCCTCAGATGGTCCGTCGAGCTGAGCATCTGCAGGCAGGTGCTGTGGAGCAAGGATGGGAGTGCACAGGAGGGAAGTCCCCTCTGCAGAGTTCACAGGTGCTCTCAGAGCTGGGCCCTCCCATGCAGGCATGTGGTTTCCTTCCTGCAGCGGGCTCCTGGTTTCCTTCCCCCAGTCCTGAGAGCAGCTTTCTTCCCTAGCCATCATATCCTTGATATCACAGCCTTCCCTGCTATCATAACCTTGCCTAGAAGCCAGTCCTGGGGCTGCCTGCGAGCACTGCACAGACCACTTGTCCACCCAGCTTGCCCAGGCCTTGAGCAAGATGTCCTCTCACCACTCTGGTCCTTGGTACAGGCTGCAGTGTGAGAAGCAGGGATGCTGGGTTCCACAGAGGTGCCCTCCTTCCCCTCCCCACCAGCCCTGCAGCAGGGGTAAGTCCACCAGGGCACAGAGGTCCCTGCTGCGTCTCAGACACTACTAGAGGACTTCTGGGTATGTAATCCAGCTTAATCCTGTTGGGCCTCAGATCAGCCTGTCAGCAGCCCTGCAGGCACAGAAGGCCACACAAAGTAGTCTCCATGGATGGACTCTGGCCCAGCCTGCCAACACAGGTCCCCTGGCACTAGGGCTAACTACCCGTGCATATAGGCATGGATTCTGGGCACCCAGTGACAGGCACAGGTGCAGCCTCATCCTGGAAGAGTCCAATGCACAAGGCAACATCAGCTGTGCTACCCTCTGTTGGGCAGACCAGACAAACAGGTGAATGCACCGACACATGGTCTTGTCTTGGGAGTGAGGACAAGAGAAGGGTGGCATCTCCTCAGAGCCATGGCTTTTGTTTCTAGAAAGGGGAAAACTGAAGGCCATAACTCAGGTGAGAACCAATCCCGCAAGCTTTCCCTGCTGGCTCCACCACACATCCCAGCCCCTACAGCCGGACAAGGGCCAAGGGGCTGCACCAGGCCAGTCCACTCTCCACAGTGGCCACAGTGTGAGTGCCTTGACCACTCCAGGGACAGAAAAAGTGAAGGTCAGTCGCTCATAACTCGGCTTCCCCCAGAGCAGATGGAGAGAGGGGAGAGGGCTGTAACCCTGGTCACCTGGTCACCACTGCCTTATTCCAGCCTTCATGCAAGTCACCAAGCCCAGCCACACTCAAGGGCTAGGAAAAGTATCAAGGACTTTGTGAACACATTTTAAAACTACTCCAAGCCTGAGGCGGTGGTGATCCCAGTGACTAGGATTGCCAGTTCAAGCCCTGTCTGGGCATCTTAGCAAGATCCTATCTCAAAAAGTAAAAAGGAGATGGGGATGTAGCTCAGTGGCAGAGTGTCCCCAGCACTGCAAAACAAAATGGAACAAGGTAACAACAAACCATACAAAGGCCCAGCCAGGGAGAGAGAGGAAAGAGGTGCAGGTGGTGGACACCAGGCCACTGTGCAAGGGAATGGTGCTAAGGAGGTGACTCCCAGGGCATGGGGCCCCAGGAACAGCCAGGCGGTGCCAGTTTGCCTGCCTGGGAGTGCCTCCTAGGGGTAAAACAGGACTGTCCCCAGTGGGGACAATTCCAACAGGCAGGCCAAAAGGTGGGGCAGTGGGTGCCTGGCCCAGGAGAGGCCGGGAGCAGAAGCACAGCCACCCTGGACAGGGAGACCCCAGAAAGGGGAGGTAGCAACCAGGAACTCCTCAGAGAGCGAGGGCCAGTTGGGGCTTGGCAGGGGCCCAGGGAATTCCCCTTCCTGACCAAAAGCAAGCGACTAGGAGTGTGAACAACCCATGGCCCAAGGCTCTTAAGTTTGAAAACAATCTAAGACAGAATGTGACCAACAGCTGAGCTTCCAGCATTGGAATAAAACGTGGGTGTTGGGTCTGACCTCCAGCCTCTTCCAGGTCCTGGGGGATGGAGACCTCTGGGCACAGGCAAGGGTTAGGAAGAGCAGCACCTGTTATCACTGAGGTTTTGGCCCTGGGCTGCTACAATGTGTCCAGGACCCTGACTGGCATGTGTGACCTGTGCACAGTGTTGGCTCATCTTGAGCCAGGCCCTGTCTGGCACCTGAGATCTTTATCTGTTCTTCATTCTGGGTGACCGACTCCCCAGTGAGCCGTCACTGTGGTCTGCCAAGCTGTCACCCTCAGTCCCCTCCTCATCTCTGGACTTTCTCTGAGCTATGTTTGGAATCCTGGAGTAGCAGGTAGAAGGGCCAGCAGCAACCTGTGGACAGCCTAGGATGCCGGGGAGGCCCAGGGCCCTGGCTGGGAGGTAAGCTAAGGCAGAAGCGCAAGGGTGAGGCCCTGATGCCTTTTGTCCTTACCAAGGACAAGCATGACCCCAAAGGGCTGAGCACAGTTAGGGAGGACATTTCCCACCCCGTGCCTATCCCCAGAGCCCCCTAGGGCCAGTTGCCCGATTTACGGTCACCATGTCTGGAAGGCTGTGACCGAGAAGGGGGAAGCAGGCAGCCAGCTGTTGGAAGACTATGGGTTCCTCGGCACCAACCCACCTCTGGGTGGGCTTGTTGGATATCTAGGGGCAGATGCCAGGGCCTGGGATGTGCCTACTTCCTGCCTCAGACCCTGTGTTGAGGAAGAGAAACAGCCCTGGCCTGCAGGTAAGAAGCCACTGCTTGTCACAGGTTTCCAAGGCAGTCTCCGGAACACTGACTCCGCCTCCTAGGCCTTCTCCTAGCAGCAACGGGAAAATCAGCTCTGCATCCCTGGCTCCCCTCTGCCATAGAAAGCCCGGCCCCAATCAGCTCTGCTGCACTCCAGCACTGTAGTTGTGCAGGGGTATTTCTTCTTACTCGCTTTTACCCCTGAATAGAGCAGCGCCGCTTTGGTAATCCAGGACGGGCGGGGAGCCCTCTGGCCCTTCCTCCACCTCTTGGGGTGTGGGTGGGGTTGAGGGGGGCGGGCGCTGGCCGCGACTCTTGGCTTTCCTGCTCGCGGGCCGGGCTGCCGGACCAGCGAGAAGTTCGGAGAGGCCAGGTCGCTCGGGAGCCAGGCTCGGCGGCCGCATGGAGCGCCAGAGGCGGACCGCTCGGCTCCCGCGCCGGGCTCTTGGTCATGCACAGGAGGGCGCTGGACTGAGAAAAGGTCTCCGTCAATGCGGAGCCACATGAAGGGCACTTTTCTTCCCCGGTCTGCGTCTTGGCACAGGCCTGCTGCTTCCAAGTGGCCTCTTATTCAAAGGGCCCGGCCCCCATTCTTTGTCCCCCTAGGTGCCCGGCCCGCGGCCCCTGGCAGCTGCTGCGCCGTCAGAGGCCCAGCAGAAGCCCGCTCTGCAGGTGAGCCTCTCGGTCAAAGGCGCTTTCAGGCGTGTCACCCGGGAACGGATTCCGAGCTGTCGCTGCTCGAGGCGCCGGCACAATGACTGCGCCACTCAACAGCCACCGCCCGCCCCGCGCCGCCCTCTCTTCCTCTTTGCAGCTCTCCTCCTCTTCCTCCCGATCGCCCTCCCCCTCCCCCCAGCCGTTCACCCCCTCTCCCAGCTCCTTCCCCCTCTCGCTCCACCGTCCCAGTCCCCGGTCTCCGTCCCCACCCCACCCGGGTAATCGTCCTGGGAGGCGGTGCCCTCAGCGCCCGCCTGGCGTGGGGCTGCCATCCAGCCGCCTGTCTCAATACCTCCGGATCTTTTCCTTTCCATCCTTGGAGTCCCGCCAGTGGTTCCGGGCACCAGTTCTGCTCTACGGGGTGACCAGGGAGGATGGGTCGAGGGGGCATTCAAGACCCACGGAAGCCCGCCTTGCGTGCTGCTGGCCCGCACTGCCCCCGCCTCCGGGCGTCCCCTAGCTCCAGTCCTCTGGTTGTGCTAATGTTTGTTGAAAGAATGAGAAAACAAAATTAGAGCTTTAGATGTCAGACCGCCAACAGGCTGTGCCCCGCTTTCCTATAGGACCCCAGAGCTCCAGAGCTGTGCTGCCCCCACCCCAGCCGGAGTGAAGGGTGCCAGGTAGTGGCCCAGGGAAAGAGACCTTGGGATTCAGCTCCTCTTGCCTCTCCAGCTTGCTTTTGTTTTTTCCTTTTCTTTTTCTTTTCTTTTTTTTGGTACTAGGGATTGTTGAACCAAGAGTGCTTAACCATTGAGCATCCCCAGTCCTTTTTCTTTTCATTTTGAGACAAGGTCTCACTAAGTTGCTTTAGATCTCGCTGAATTGCCGAGGCTGGCTTTGGACTTTCCATCCTCCTGTCTCAACCTCCTGAGTAGCTGGGATTATAGGGATGCACCACCATGCCCCACTCGACTTTGCTTTTAAAGCTGAACGTATTTGCTCACATTACGGAAACTTGGTGTCTGGGTCAGCTCTGTGTTGCTATAATAAATATCTGAAGCTGCAAAGAGAAAAAGTTATTTAGTCCATGGTTCTGGAGATGGAACTGGCGCTACTCTGAGAACACTTGGAAGAACTGACTGC